CCGTGCCCAGGCGGCCCGCCCGGCTCGGTTGACCAATGTGAATATTCACATTGACATATTAACATTAACATTGATAAGAGTGAAAATTGCCCTACCAGTGAGCAGCCCGAAGCCCGATGGCTGCCCGAAAACGCCCACGGCTGGTAATATTCACATTGTCAACGAGCTTCGGGCAGCGGCACAAATTTTACACTCCATCAATGTAATGTAACATGTCAATGTGGAATATTCACATTGTCAATGGGTCGCGGCCAAAGCCCACCTCGGGCTGTCGATCAGCTTCGAGTCCGCCCCAAAACAACATGGGCTGCGGGCCAAATTTACCACTCCTTATCAATGTGGAATTTTCACATGCCACGAGCCGGGGCCCGCCCCGGCCTGAGGTCAAGCTCGGGCTCACGACGGGTCACGGGCCAATTGTACACACTTATCAATGTGGAATGTTAACATGTCAATGTGAATATTCATATTGTTCAAACAGGCGGGCTGGGCCCGCCCCGGCCACCCAGCGCGCGTGGCGGGTTTCGGGCCAGCCACGGGCGCGGTGGCTAATTTTACCACTCCTTATCAATTGTGCATTTAACATTCATATATGAATATTCATATTGTCACGAGTCGGGGCCAAGCCCGCCTGCGGGCTGCGAGTCGGGGCTCGGGCCGCCCACGGGCTTGCAGGCCAATTTGACACTCATCTGTTAATGTGAATGTTAACATGTCAATGTGAATATTCACATTGTCAACGGGCCGGACCGGGCCCGCCCCGGGCCGTCCATGGACTGCGGGCTGGTTTCGCGCCGCCACGGGACGGGGGTCAATTTTATACTTCTATTAATGTGAATGTTAACATGTCAATGTGAATATTCACATTGTCAACGGGCCGGACCGGGCCCGCCCCGGGCCGTCCATGGACTGCGGGCTGGTTTCGCGCCGCCACGGGACGGGGGTCAATTTTATACTTCTATTAATGTGAATGTTAACATGTCAATGTGAATATTCACATTGTCAACGGGCCGGACCGGGCCCGCCCCGGGCCGTCCATGGACTGCGGGCTGGTTTCGCGCCGCCACGGGACGGGGGTCAATTTTATACTTCTATTAATGTGAATGTTAACATGTCAATGTGAATATTCACATTGTCAACGGGCCGGACCGGGCCCGCCCCGGGCCGTCCATGGACTGCGGGCTGGTTTCGCGCCGCCACGGGACGGGGGTCAATTTTATACTTCTATTAATGTGAATGTTAACATGTCAATGTGAATATTCACATTGTCAACGGGCCGGACCGGGCCCGCCCCGGGCCGTCCATGGACTGCGGGCTGGTTTCGCGCCGCCACGGGACGGGGGTCAATTTTATACTTCTATTAATGTGAATGTTAACATGTCAATGTGAATATTCACATTGTCAACGGGCCGGACCGGGCCCGCCCCGGGCCGTCCATGGACTGCGGGCTGGTTTCGCGCCGCCACGGGACGGGGGTCAATTTTATACTTCTATTAATGTGAATGTTAACATGTCAATGTGAATATTCACATTGTCAACGGGCCGGACCGGGCCCGCCCCGGGCCGTCCATGGACTGCGGGCTGGTTTCGCGCCGCCACGGGACGGGGGTCAATTTTATACTTCTATTAATGTGAATGTTAACATGTCAATGTGAATATTCACATTGTCAACGGGCCGGACCGGGCCCGCCCCGGGCCGTCCATGGACTGCGGGCTGGTTTCGCGCCGCCACGGGACGGGGGTCAATTTTATACTTCTATTAATGTGAATGTTAACATGTCAATGTGAATATTCACATTGTCAACAGGTCAGGCCGGGCCCGCCCCGGGCTCCGGGCGGACTTTTGGCCGCCCGTGGGCCGCGGCCCAATTTTATGCTCTTATCAATGTGAATGTTAACATGTCAATGTGAATATTCACATTGTCGACGGGCCAGACCGGGACTGCCCTGGGCCGGCCATGGGTCGCGGGCGGGTTTCGCGCCGCCACGGGATGGGGGTCAATTTTACACTTCTATTAATGTGAATGTTAATATGTCAATGTGAATATTCACATTGTCAACGGGCCGGCTCCGCCCCAGCTCGCGGCCGAGTTTCGGGCCGCCCACGGGCCAATTTTACATTCCTACCAATGTGAATTTTAAAATATGAATGTTCACATCATTAAATTGCTAATCGTTCAAAAAATATTTATAAGGGTATCAAAATTAAATATAAGGGCATAAGTGTCCAAGAAAATAGTGTAAATCGAAGAAAATGGACTTTATGGAATAAAACTATACATACATGGGACTAAATAGGTTAAAAAATTTCTTTATGGACTTCTTGGGTTAAAACACTTATAAATTGGACTTATCAATAAAAATCCCTTCTTTTAAATTATGGAACTTGTTCGATTTCAGGATAAAATTGTAAATTTTATCACTCTTTATTTAATTTTACAGTTACTATTTTTGTTCTCATTTTTTGGGTTTTTTTTTCCAAAAAAAAAAACTAAATTAAAAAACAAGCATAGAAGAATTTTTTTTTTTTTTTAAAAAAAAAACAAGATTTAACATATTTAGAAGGAAATTTCGTTTCATCTCATTTGGCGCACATCTATATATATATATACTAGTGGGTGGCACACACGATGTGTGTGCAATTTAAATAAGTAGGAATAAAAAAAAATAATAATGAAATTAATATTATAATGTGTACTTAACTTAAGTGGTATGAGTCCTCGTATTTAAATTCATGGTCATGGGTTCAAGCCTTGCCCATCTCTTTGTTTAATTTTTTTTTTAAAAATAAAAAATACTGCCACATGACATGAGGAGAGTAAAATTTCAGGATACCAAAGTTTCTGTTCACTTTATAATAATATATATAGATGTTTGGGAAATCAGATACCGAACATATAATCAGATATATCTTTTTGTTAAAATTAAATTTATAAATCATATGAGTGAATTATGATTTTCATGATAAATTCAAATAATGCCTAACGGTGGGGATAGAATCATTAAAAAAATTATCACATTACATTACAAATCAGGAGAGAGAAAGGATTTTTTTTTTAAATTTTTTTTTAAGGAGTATTATTACTGCCTACAACTCTATCTCTGCAAAAGATAAATAATAAATTATTCATACTTATCCTCCAAATACCCAACTGGGTAAAATTTCAAATTTTGGACACAATTTTCATCATTATATATATGTACATTATTTATTTCTCAACTACGAGCAGAGATATATACAGAGCAATTTCATCAAGTAATCACTCTCTCTCTCTCTCTCTGCTTATACAGTTTGCTTTCTTGCTTTAAATTTTCTGATGTGTTTTTGTTAAATCCTTGATCAAGATATCCACATTTCGATACATATGTTTGGATTCAGTCACTTTACAGTTTTCTTCAAGAAGATCAAGTTCATTCAATCTACTTCTTTGAATAATCTCACAAAAGTGAAGTTCTCCGCATTTCGATTCTCATTACTTAATCTTTTGATAGTTGGGGTTTTTATCAAAGAAATGAACATAGCTGTGTCCCCAATCTATATAACTGTTTTGAATCTGAATCGCTTTCTGGATATAACAGAATTGAAATTGTTTGAATATTGTTGATTATGTTTTTCGAATTCATGCTTTCTCAATTTCCTTTCTTTCTTTCTTTGTTTTGTTTTGTTTTTTTTTAAAGATATTGATGGATGAATATCAATAGATTTATGAATATCCACATATTCTTATACATATGCTATATACATTGTTGCTCTGAGATTATCACTCAATAACTTCTCTTTCTCATCTTTTGATACACATAATTTCTGGGTTTTCCATTTAACAAAAGTTAAGTTGAAATCAATCATATATTTAGGTTGTGTTTGGATCATGGATTGGGTAGGGATTTGGAAAGGGAAAGGAAAAGACATGGGAAATGGAGAAAAAATTTGGCTTATATTTCATTTGCATTTCTCTCATGTTTCTTTTTTGTTTGCAAAACCCTATTTAAATCTATAATCCAAACACAACCTTAGTGATTTTTTCTTCTTTTTTAATTTTATTTATCTCTTTCTATTCATTGCGCATATGGGATGCTTGTTTGCTATTTTTAAATTTTTTGGGAAATGTTTGCTTTAAGTTAATTTTCAGCCACACCAGCTTTATTTATTTATTTATTCTGTGCTGTTTTTCTCATTTGTAATCAATGTATGATTAACATTTTTAACGATCTTTTTCATATAGATCGCTATATCTTTGTATTGTCCTTCAGCATCTTCTAGACAATCAAATGGAAAAGGTAGAGATTCTGTTTGTGCATATGTAGTTCAATATCATTGTCATCAATTTATGTTGTATTTGTCAATAAAGCTAGCTGGTGAATTGGCAGTATGAGATGGGTGAGATTATTGGACACGGCTCCTATAGTCTTGTTTACAGAGGTCTTGATCTTAAGACTAATCAGACTGTAGCTATAAAGAAGATGCAGTCTATGCCCTACGAAAATGGTGTCCCAACTACAGCAATCCGGGAAGTCTCTCTGCTGAAAGAGATGGAGCACGACAACATAATCAAGTAAGTTACTTGAAGTTCTGATGACAAAAAAAGAAGAAAATTTTTAATGAAAAATCTGACCGTTGTTTCTACGCTTTGTGTGAATGCAAGAGCATGGGCACACAGAATTGAGGTTTTTGAGTAATTAACACTACTCTAAGAAGCAAGGACATGGACATGTGACACGACATGGACATGTTGACATGCAAATTTTAAAGAATTCAGGACACGACATGTTTGGGGACACATGCAAAACATCGACATGGACATGTTGACATGCAAATTTTAAAGAATTAAGGACACAACCCGTTTTGGGACACGTGCAAAACATATAATTTTATATATTTACTATATATCATTTTTTAAATATTTAATATTTATTTTATGTCAAATATTTAATTTTATTAAATTTATCAATCTTTGGTATGTTACTTTAGTTTAAAAAAATATATATATAATTTTTTTGAATAAAATGGTCCTCGCCATGTGCCTAAGGTGTTCTCAATGTGTCCCCAACGTGTTCTTAGTGTGTTCTAAGTGTTTGACTCTCTCCAGTGTGTCTAACACATGTCTGGAGCGTGTTTATATCCAACATGTGTTAGACGTCTGTACCTCGCCTCCAGAGAGGTGTCTGTGCTTCATAGACACTACCTTTGTGACAATCTTGGAGCAACAAAAGTGTTACTAGAAAACATTAATACCTTAGCGATTTACGTTTAGGAATGCATATTTTGAAATATGGTACACTATCATTCTGAAAGAGTAAACTTAGCAATCCAAATTGATTCCAATATTTTTTCCACGTATTTTCTTAAAAGTTTTTCTTTAAGAGGAATCCAATCAAATATAATGAATTAAAATCTAAAGAAAGTGGAGTTTTGGCATGACATACTGCAAAAACAATAGATCATAAATGCTTGTTAAATCTTCTTGTACATGTACATTTAAAAAATAATAAACTATATCTTATTGGATGTCTAATTATTAGAAGAAATTCCTCTTACATTTAGTATCTTAAATTCTGATAGTGTGATCCATACAAGCCTACTCCTATCATTATGAATTTTAGAGCATGTATCGTAGTTTTCGTTCCTCGTATTGAAACAATCCACATTACAACTTACAGTTGACATAGGCAGGAACCTTCCCTCATGCAACATTATGATTAATACACTTGTGTTGCCTAAGGATGTCACAAAAGATTAAATTAAGCATGATCATGACAATTGTGTATGGTGTCAAAGAAATGAAATATTGCATCTAAGTAACGCGATCTTGTGACAGTTAACCCACAATTAAGTCCTCATAATTTCTGACCAACTATGAAACTTGTTTCATTACCTGTGTATAGCACCAGTTAGAAAATGCTTTCCATATCACATTTGACCAATCAAATGAGGGCAAACTGAAGGCAAGAGTAAACATTTTGCTTGTATTTTTGTGGAGGTTCATGAAGATGCTTTTTGAAACTTGAAAGCTGTCTTTGGCATGGTTTATTTTTGTTACTGCAAAAATATAAGAGACTTATGAACAAGGAAGTTCACAAGCAAACAAACACAACCCCTGATAAATAGATTTCATTTGAATCCAATGTGGTTATAAACACTATTTTCTTTGACAAATAAATTGCATCCTTACTATATATATATTTCATTATTTTCCTCAAAAGATAACTTACCAGAAACTTAACAGGTTGCTGGATGTAATAAGCAATATTGATGACGGATGTTGCATCATTTTTGAACATCTGGACCTTGATCTAAGGAAATTCATGGCCACTTATCCCCAGGATTCTAAGGATCCACGAATAATAAAGGTGTTATGATCTTTTCATGTAGTATTTTATATACTGCTTGTTTGTGTATTATGATGTGTTGGCTTCTTCTTTTTTTGTCCACCCCCCCCACTTTCTGCAGAATTTTCTGCATCAAATTCTCTCAGGTATTAAGTACTGTCATGAGCACAGAATTCTCCATCGAGACTTGAAACCTTCCAATTTACTGGTAGATCTCAATTCCTGCATACTGAAGATTGCAGATTTTGGTTTGGCCAATACATTTCATCTTCCTTCTGGCGGATATAGTCCGGAGGTATTTCTTGTAGCGTTTAAGTTCATTTCACCTGAATGTGGTCTTTATGTTGTCTGTTTTCATTGCTGTTTCTAATCCACAATGTTTTCATCTAATTTTTGCATTGTTGGCTTGGCAATTATGAAATTCTGGTCACTTTCACTTTACATGATGTTCACATATGATTTTTCTTTTCCTTTTTTGTTTTCTTTCCTGAAGTACATTGGTTAATGAAACATTCTTCTTTTAACATTTGTTATTCATGGAATTGCAATCGTCATAAACGTGATGTATTGGAATGATTAAAAAGTGTTTCAAGGCCTTCCAAACAACAATATTTCCTTAAAATGAAGTTGATCTCCGTAATTGGATCTCTAAATTTCAATTGCTGTGTGTGAATGTAATATAATTGGTAATTTTCTTCTTCAGGTAGTCACTCTATGGTACAGGCCACCCGAAATGCTCCTTGGCTCCCCACCATACTCCACCTCTGTTGATGTGTGGTCTGTAGGCTGTATATTTGCTGAGATGGTTACGCATTGGCCTCTGTTTCTTAGTAGTACTAGTGACCTCTCCAAGATTGGCCAACTGCATAAAATTTTTAGGTGTTACATGGCTTTCAAATACCTTTGTTTGTGCACGCAACATATCATTTTCTGTTTTTCTTTTTCCACTACAATCATATTTATGTTCAATTTCTTTTATTGAAGCATTATGGGGACACCAAATGAAAGAACGTGGCCTGGAGTGACTTCACTACCGTTTTATCGCACTAACTTTCCCAAGTGGAATCCTAAGGTAATATTGAATTTTCTTCAATTTTTTTTTTGCAAGTCAAATGGTAAAATTTGCAATCGCTTTCCCTTTCTTCGTGCAGAACCTGGTAGACTTTGTTCCTAATCTTGAACCAGATGGAGTTGATCTTCTTTATGTAAGTAGTTGTTTTCTAATGTGTTCCGTTTACTTTATTTTTCTTCTTCTTCTTCTTTTGGTTTATACCTCACTCTTTTGAAGTATGTAGTAATGTAAATTTCCCGATTTTCATCCAGAAAATGCTCTGCATGGATCCATCTAGAAGAATTTCAGCTTTTGATGCACTTAGACATGCATACTTCAAGGATTTATGATGATGATTGATGAAGATGATGATGATGTTCCTTGATTCCATGCCCTTCACTTTTACTTTGTTTTGTTGTTTTCGTTGACATAATAGCAACTTTAATCTAGGATTGAATTTGAGTTTGGTAGGTGAGCTTTCTTTCATTCATTGTAAATTCTCTCTCCCACTCAAAGCTTTTTGCTGCAACCAATTTGTGCTTTGAACTGGTTCAACTTGTAAATTCTCTCCCTACATCCCATTTCCTTCAATTTGGCTTTGACAACACTGACTCAACGCACATTTTTCTATGGGTTTTGGTTGAGTTTGGGCTGGACCGAAATCACTGGTGATGAAAAAAACAAAAATGTTGAACTTGGGCTAGAACAGACCAAAACAATAAAAATAAGAATGGAAAAGATTTTTGATGATTTTAAACTCAACCAACAAACCAAACACAAAAACTAATCATCTCCTTCAACCGCTGCAAACCCCTCTCTTTGTTTTTCTTCCTCCCTCCCTTATCTTTTGACAATAATTTTGTATCAATTAAAAAACTTTGAATTTGAAGTTTTAAACAAGCTACATGTCCACTTGTGTACTCATTTTTTTATTTACTCTTTTGTTTTCCATTGATTTGTACAATTCCAATCTACAACTTAGACATACACACATATATTATACATACACATATATTAGCCTTTGCGCAACTTCTCATACTTCCTACGGTGTTCCTCAATTTTGTGTGCATTGGGTTCAACCTGTGCAGAAAAACTTAAGTGAGATGCTAAAACAGGAAAGGCTAATACAATGGTTTCACTCCTATTTTAGCATGTTCTCATGTCTTTCACAATAATGTGTGCACTTGTTACTTGTAAGCATCTTTATCATAACTCAGAATGCATCCTCCAAAATCTCACCCAAAAGAAAAAAAATAAAAATAAAGAGAAAGAAAGAAAAGAAAAAGACAACACCAGTTGCAAAGAAACACCAGGGAAAGATTACCCTTAATAATGTAAAAGATACATAGTATTTCAAAACATTAAAAAAGAAGGCAAACCTTCTTTAGTGCAGCACTTATTTCCTCATCGTAGTCCAGCTTTGATGCCAAGTGAAGATCCTTAGCAGCCTCTCCCCATTGACCAAGCATTGCCCATGCCATGCCACGGGATTTGTACCCTTTAGCCGAATCTGGATTAATCTGTAATAGGCATTCAAGGAAATGCAACACCCATCATCACCAAAAACATCACATTCTAACCATCTTCAGGACTCATACATAAGTAGAGTATAATTTAAAATTGACCGTATAAATTTGATCGACCATACAGGATGATAATAAGGATGACACGAATGCAACAAATATGAGCATATCGAATATAATGAGAATGAAATTGTAGATACATTCATGACGTGTCTAGTATATTTCTAAATTACAATCAAGAAACTATACTATTCTGCTAAGTGAGGAAAGAAAAACCTCGAGAGCAGCATTGGCATCTCGGATAGCAGCATTGGGTTTCTTCATTTTGATATACACACTAGCTGTAAGAAATTAAAGAAATTTTTCTACATCAAATATAAGAACACACACAAAACATAGAAAGAGATACGAAGGAAGGAGTGGAAGAAAGCACCATTACTGACAAACACTTTACCTCTGCTTGCATACATAATTGCTGAGGTTGGGTTGAGCAAAATCACCTACGTGAGATGCTCAATTGCTTCCTCGGGCTTACCTGATTAACCACAAAGCCATCAATTTCTGCAAACATGCTTTTTCATGCATACATTATAGGTGTCTGTTTGTATGTAATGAAATTAAAATACCTTCAGAAATTGCTTCCATGGCCTTTGCCTTCGTGTCCTAGGCAGCATCCCAGTTTTCTTCTATGACCTCAACAGAAGGGTCTCCCATCTGCAAAATTCAATGTTAAAGAGATATTCATGTTACAGAATATCAAAATCCAAAATCGGCTTGCTTAATAAGAGCAACGACGCAGACACACCTTCTGTGGTGGATCATTGTCAGGTTCCACAGTTTCACCTTCAAACTCGAGATCAGATTCAACTATCTCGCTTTCTTCCTCCTCTTTAGCAGTTCCATGTGGTTGAGGCTCCCCCTCATTGTCCTCCAAATCCTCATCACTCTCTTCCACAACATAAGGCTTTTGTAATTATTCATTAAACAAAACATTAAAACTCCCAAAATTTTAAATTTCCAGGTCACAAAAAACAACCTAAACTATATACTGTCCCTTTGGTAAATTAGATGAGAAAAAAAAAAAGACAAGAATGTGATTTCTCATGTAGGTTAGAAGAAAAAAAAAAAAAAAAAAACTCTTTCACTTCCATACGATTTTATAATTTTGAGGGATAAAAGTAATTTTTAAAAGTTTAAAAATATTTTTTTAATATTTATTTTATGTCAAACTAATATCTATCAAACCAATCAGGGCATTGTTTGGGTTGACCCAAAATCCATTTCCATAAAGAATCCAAACTCTTCAACTCCGGGCCGGTTAGCAGTGCGGGTCAGGAACGGTATCCAAATAGGTTTAACCGTTTTTGCGAAATTACAAAGATTTTGAGGGTGAAAATTCCGTTGTAATTTGTAATATATGTTTCGCGCCTAATATACATACAATACAAAACTCATATAACAGAATTACATTCTCTCTCTCTTCTCTCATTCTTCCAAAGAAGCAAAGAAAGGTGAAAGCCCTCTCTCTCTCTCTCTAAATCGTGTTATCTGCCATAAGATTATTGTCTCTTGTTGAACTTGATTGGTTAGGCTTTGTACATGTTGAATTTGATGATTTTCAAGTCTTGAAATCACGAGATCTGAGTTTGTGATTCAAACTGTTAGGCTATTCAATCTTTGATTGTTGATTCCATAGATTCTTGAATTTCTTTTCTCATTTTTTGAGTTTGCATTTTATTATGGATTCTGTTGATGCTGTTGAATCGAGGCATGTTAGCTGCAATGCAACAAATCATTGACATGTATTGGAGGAATTGTAATCTCTTTGTGTGTGAATATCATTATACTTGAATTAAATACATACTGATATGTATATATAGATACAATATTTTGTGCATGTTGCATCTTTGTAACTGAAGGTTAGGGTGATCATGAAAGGCTGAACTGTTCGTTGTTTGTTGGAAGGAAATCACGAGATTTTGGGGTTTTGACTCTTAGTCTGTGTTTGGAAGGGGATTTCTTCCTCAAATCCTTGATCCAAAAATGACCTTCAAGAAGCCTGGACTACAGAGAACAGAAAAGGTTTTGCATCACCAAGGATGTAAAATGATATCTGAAGTTTGCATATTTCTAGAGGCAAACTATCTTTGATAGAAACTTTCAGACATTCATTTAAGAAATGTGTTTAGATAGAACGACATATATGAAATGTGCTGAAAAAAAAAACCTCACCAAATCAGCAAGTTTCTAGGTTTTATTCGAACTTTGAGAGCATTTGGAACTTGTATTGACCTCTTTGTCTTCTATGTATTTTACGTATATATGTTCATTTCAATCAAGACATGGCTGACGAAAAATTGTCTGATGTGGCTTCTATTTATGTATCAGCTTTTAGTGAAGCAGTTCAGCCTGATAAATGGATGATCAGGTGAGGATATGATAGGCTTGCTTGATATTGTTTTCATTTTTAATGTTTTCAATTTTCATTTTCCACTTGTGTTTTCAGAAATAGGAAAGAATGAGCTGTTCAAAAACAAACATTTGTTTTCATGTCATTTCATTTTGTGTGAAAACAGTTTTTAAGTATTCAGAAAACAACTTAAAATAATTCTTAAAAATGTGTGTTTTCAGAATATCATTTTCAGAAAACAGTGTGACAAACAAACAAAGTTATTGTTTTCAACTTTTCTTCATTTTAACGTAATTTTCAATTTTATACATTTTTGCACTTGTACTGATTGATCTTGCTCATGAATTGGCAGTACCTTGTGCTTGAACGGATAGGAAAAGGAGCCTATGGCACGGTTTACAGGGCCTTTGACTGTGTCATCAGTAAAACAGTGGCTATGAAAGCTGTTCCGTTCAGGAATAACATTGTAGGCATCCCGAGCTCGGTAATACGAGAAACCTCCCTTCTGAAGGACATGGAACATGAGAATATTGTCAGGTATACACTCCCTAAGAATGTGTGTGGGCTTTGATTCACAATTCACAATTCACTTGTGCTATGGTTGGTTGGGAGATTTGAGTAAAGATTTGAAAAGGGAAGTGACAAAGGTAGGTGAAATGTGAATAAAACATACTTATATTTTACCTAGTTTCACACACCTTTTTTCTTTCCCTTTCTAAATCCCTTCCCAAATCTCCCAACCAAACACAGCATTAATTCTTTTATTTTGTTTTACACAAATTTTAGAAATTTAAATTGATGTTTACTACAATGATGATAAGCCTGTAATGTTATCAATATTGTCAGTAATAATTTCTGTCTGTACGAACACTTCATTCACATGAAATGCAGCTGAGAAAACACAATAATGTCCTTGAAAATACAAAAACGATGATTATTTTTTGCAAAAATAAAGAAAATATAGAACAATAGGATACAGTTGATTCAAAGGGATATTTTCCTTTGCTTGATGTCATTCCCCATGTGTAATGACCATTTGGTATTTGGATTATTTAATTTTGGTTTTTAGCTTTTTCCGGTTTCTTTGAAGTGATGGACTAATGATGTGTCATTTTCTATGATTTTATGGAATCCTATGGACAAATTCTTTGATGGAGTTTTGGTTTTTCAGGCTGCTGGATGTACAACATCATCAAAACAAAATATGTGTAGTTCTCGAGTATTTGGAATTCAATCTATGGGAGTTCATGCGAAAATTCCCATCAACCGCTAAGGACCCACAAATTATAAAAGTGAGCCTCTTTCAGCCACATTGATTTTTTTGCAGTCAACTTACAGAGAATGATGCTATTTTCATTATTGGAGTTCATCTACCACATAACATTGGGTGTTAATTCTCTCTCTCTCTCTCTCACACACACACACACACACACTAGGATTCTTGTTAATTGTACCGATACCCTTGGATATTTTGTTTTTTGCTTCCATTAAAGAAGTTTTTATATTGATAATGTTTTACATATTGTACGGATACTTACAGATAATTTTGAATTATATATGTTTTTTTATGTTATTTTCCTAGGAGATTGAGGTGAATAGATCTCTGCATTGGCAATTTATCAAATCCCTACTAAAATCCATGATCCAAACATAGCCTTTGAGATTTGTCATTGAAGTAGATCATAGTTTTGCTGTAGAAGTATTTCCTCTCAGTTTATGAGTTCATTTTGATTTATCTTTTTGCAGTACATTTTGCTTCAGATTCTTCATGGTGTTGCATATTGTCATTCACAAAAAATTATCCATCGGGATTTGAAGCCACAGAATTTGCTGATAGATCGGAATAAAATACTGAAAATTGCCGACTTTGGACTGTCCAGGGCAGTTGATGTCCCTCTCAAGATATATACAAAAAAGGTAATGCTGTTCCTCTCAGGCCAGTTTTCAGTATTTGCTGTCCTTGGAATACCTGATTATTTTAATCTAAGAATGTTCAACTGCACCTTTGGAAGATACAATTTCTTCATCTTGAACAAAGAAATATCTTCTTGAATTGGCATGAAATCAATTAATCACTTGGTAATTTCAATATTGGAATTAATTGGTAAAATTGGCGTTAAGAAGTACGGACACATGACATGATATAGATACACAGACACGCAAGCATGACAATTTTCAAAAAATGCATGACACGACACGTGGAGACACGCATAGAATATATAATTTTTTATATTTATTATGCCATATATATGAATATATCATTATAAGATAATAAATAAATACAATATAACACTATAAATTGACATTATTTTTCCTTTATCATCTTGTTCTAATATTTTGTTCAAACTTTTAATCAATGGACACGTGTGTTTGAGCAATAGACACGTATGTCCTCCAAGTGTCCAAAGAGTGTTCAAATCTAAATGCTTTTTAAAAAACTAGGACACATTTGGATGAGTGTCGGATAGGTGTCAGGAGAGTGTCCAATGAGTGTCAATGTCCAACATGGACACGACATGGATACGCTGCCTTTTTAGAAGTGTCCGTTCTTGCCCTCTCTAGGCACAATGCCGTAGGTGCTTGGTTATTTCACAGGTGATGTGTGTTTGCTCATATTGCTGGTGGCTCTCTCCTCAGGTGGCAACTCTTCATTATATGGCTCCTGAAATCCTGTTTGGCGCTGGCCAGTACTCTGCACCTGTAGATATATGGGCTGTGGGTTGTATATTTGGTGAAATGGTGACGCATCGGCATATGTTCAATGGTTGTTCCGAGACTAATCTATTAGTCAACATTTTCAGGTTCCATATAGTTTAAATTCACCCCTGTATGCCCTGTTATGTCTTTTGTGTTGTAAATTCCTTTCTTACATCTAGTTTTTAAACATTTAGGCTTTTGGGCACACCAAATGAAGAAACCTGGCCTGGAGTGACCTCATTGTTTCCTTTCATCAGTAAAATAGTCCAGAGTCCTCCTCAGGTAATGAAGGTTTGTTGTAAAATTTCACTTCTTGTTGGAACTGGTTTCTTTCCCCTTGGAGAGAAGTCCTGTTTTGTCCAATTGTCACCATGGGTTCCATTCTAATAATTTGAACCGTTCATCTTATAGATCCCTATGTATAGATCATCCATGAAAAAAATTAACTTGATCCAATAATTTTAGTCGCAATATTGTTTTGAAAATAGCCGTCTATTTTCTTGAAGACAAAATAGAAATTTTTTTGTATAGCTATGATGATGGAACTGACAAATAAATGACTTGGACCATCAAAGTGAGACCTGTGGTAGAACTTACGAGCCCAACTGGACAGAATCAAACTGGATCGTTTCTTGTTGTAGCATCTTAACAGGTTTGATTTTTACCTTGGCTTCCATTATTCCGTGCAGGACCTGGCAGAAGAAGTCCGGGGCCTTGAACCTGCAGGAGTTGATCTTCTTTCTGTAAGTATATGTACTTGAAAATATTCAGTAGTTGCTATCTTTTAAAAATGGTTTAATCATCCTCATTTAGATGTTTGACATTGATTAGAGCAATTTAATGCTCACTGCATAGAATGGAATAAATTATCTAATCTGAGTGTGTCTCGAATTCAACCCAGATCCTGCTTTTCATACGGTGGCGACCCACACAATTCGATCACTCCTGACCAATAGATTCAACCTGTCATTTGTGTTTGGGTCTATTTTGAACTGGTTTTCTACTATTCGGATCTTTGTATTTAAGGGGTTATTTTGAGTTTGTAGGGTTAGAATGATCTTGAGAGAAAGTCGGCTCAGTATAATATGATCTACATTCATAGTGAAATTTCTCTGATCTTTGCCTGCAGATATAGGCTTATACCCAAAACATGTTTGTTATGCTTTAGCTTTTCTCAGTTTTGCCTTTGCCATTACATTGTTCTTGGTAGCAGCAATATGTGTGGATTCTAAAATTAGACTCCAGGGGCATCAAATGCAATTATCATCAAACATGTTTGTGGTTGTTTGCACTTATCCCTATGTTTGTTTTCCCCAGAAAATGCTCTGTTTGGATGCCGGGAAAAGAATCACAGCTCGGGATGCTCTCAAGCATGCTTACTTTAGAGATGTACAGAATCCACCTTGATTTCCTGATGGCAATCCCATTCTTCTTCTCTGCTGTTGCATGGACTGAGAGAGATTGTATGGATCATTGCCCAAGTTGTCATTGAATCTGGTTCAGTAAGTACATAACTACAGCATAATAGTGTGCTTGAAATGAACATTCTAGAAATACTGATTTCTCAAATTACATCCATAGCATAAGTTTTTTTTAGTTTACTCCATGTTTGTAGTTGTAGATGGATCATTTCTTGATCTGCAATGTGAAGTAATGCAGTCTATCATTTTGTTGCATCCAAAAAACTCTGGCTATACTCGAAGGGAGCGTTATTGGATTGTACTCTTTGTCTAATAGATTTACTAGTCCATCGTTTGATTAGAAAGGTGAATATCTGACTAACCCTTCGTTTGTTTGTTTTCCATAGTTTTTGACATTTGATACAATGAAAAACGAAATCAATGGAAAACAAACTTATTTAGGTAGAAAATGTTTTTCACTTTTAAAAGATGGAAAACATTTTCCGAACTAAAATCTTACTAATGTTACCGTACTACCACTGTCATTGCTACCATCACTATCGCCATTATCACCATGCCAACCCCACCACCTCCATTACCACCAAATATAAAAGATTTTTTTTTTCAAAAAATATTTCCTAAAAAAAGTTTTCTGTTAAAAAATATATTCTATCCAATCAAACAGAATGTGATAGTCAAATATATACATAATTTTCAATCAAATAATCTAAAAATTATTTATATCAAGATTGTTAGTGTTAGTAGGTATTTTAATATTATAATGTGTTATAGGTTGGTTTTCTTTTCTTTTCTTCCAAGTTAAGCCTTCCAAGTCCTTGTCAAGTCTTGGTCTTAGTCTCCCCATTCTTATCCTTTCAAGTCTTCCAAGATAAGTCTTCTTCAAGTCTTTGCCTAGACTTATCCTCATCAAGTCTTCTCCAAGTCTTTATCCTTTATCTTCTATATATATATTGAGCTAATGTCCTATCTTGGTATATACGAGAAGGAGTTTTTGTTGCTTTGTTATGTCTAATGTGAGATTATCAGACAAATAAAAAAGGGTGTATGTGATAAAGTTTTGGGTTCAACCAATTGTGCAGTATTGGTGAACCATACGACTTAGTAGGGCTGTTGTATCCTGAGGGGACAAGTCAAGGTTTTTTCTGCTGCACCGCTGTGAGGCTTTGCCTAACCGCAAAGGGCTTGAATCTCCTTAAAGAGAGCGAATTTCCCGCGCCTCAGCCTTTATATAATTGTTGTAACTTTTATTTTGTGTAATTTATTGGATATGCAACAAATAGTACAGCCTATAGATTTTTTGATATGGAAAACAAAATAATTTTTGAATCAGGTGATGCAATTTTTCATGAAGAAAAATTTCCTTTTAAATCTAAAAATGGTGGGGGTCAAAATTATCAAGAAAATATTTTATCTGAAACCAGTTCCTTTACTTCTCTTTTACAAAACCAAGATACTGTAGTTTTTGAACCTAGAAGGAGTAAAAGAGCCAGATCAGAAAAAGATTTTGGCCCTGATTATCATGTTTTTAATGTGGAGGAAACTCCATTAACTTTACAAGAAGCTTTGATATCTCCTGACTCTGTTTTTTGGAACAAGGCTGTAAATGATGAGATGGAATCATTATTATCCAATAAAACTTGGGTATTAGTAG